ATTTTATTAAAATTTGATTTTAATTAAATTCAACCGTCTTAAATTTTAAAATTAGAGTTGGACTCTAATTTGATATTTAATTAAAATTTAATCTTAAATAATTCTTCCCTATAATTGTGGAATTAGAGTTGGACTCTGATTCGATATTTGATTAAAATTTGATTTTAATTAAATGTGCCAATTAATTAAGCTAATTGATTAATATGATTAGTTAATTATTCCAATCCATTTGTCTAAAAGAGTTTATACGACCTTAATTGCTAGAAACTCGAAATTTTTTTGCATATAATATTAGATATTATGTACGAATACATTTATGGGATGAATGTATTATTAATGGATGATTATGGACTCGACCATGTGAATATATTGAATGGTTAATTTTATTCTTAGCTTTTGTGGTTTTGGGCTTGTGAGCCCGTTATTATTGTTATTATTATGGGCCTCCGAACTCTTAATTATTTTGAACTTGCGAGTCCATTATTGTTTTTGTTACTATGGGCCTGTGAGTTCAATTTCATTTAAACCTGCATCCCAACTAGTATAGGATACATATTGCAGCTGGACTAATTGAAGAAACAAGAATAGGAGGAGACCATGGAATTGACCAACTAGTTTTCCTCATGGCTCGGGAAGACTAGATAGTAAAAGTCTATAATCGTCCACACTATTATTTTATATTATATATATGTTTATTTTCATGGTAGATGTATAATAAAATATATATGATTGTAGCGTTGTTGATAAGACTTTTGAACGCAAAATCCCTCAATAAAATATTAAGTTAATTTATTATTCACCTTCCATCATTATAGTGAAAAACTAGAGTCCCAAATCGTTTCAACTTGTTGAGTACACTCAAGGTTAGTCTATTAGGGATATGTTTGACACTATGAAATATTAGACATTTTCGAATGATGAGTCCGACTTAACTAAAATTTATCTTTTGTTGAGTACACTCAAGGAGATAAATTTTAGAGGCCTAGCACATAAGATGTGTGAAGACAAGAAGTTGTCAGCTTAATGATATGGGACATACTCTTAATCAGGGAGTAGAGACTTCTGAGGACATGTTAGCTCTATGTGAATCTAGTAGGATCATTCGACCTTCAAGAAGGTGCGAATCCGTAATTACTAATCAGGTATTATTGATCCAGGATGATGAACCTACTAATTGTACAAAAATAAAGTCAGGTGTTGAGTTAAAAGAGATAGCCATAGACCATGAAACTTGAGATGAATTCGATGTATGTGAACAAGGTTTAGAACTTGGTCAACCCACTTGATGGACTAAAACCCATAGGTTGTAAATGGTTTATAAGGAAAAGGTCGACATGGATGGGAATGTCTATACATACAAAGCAAGGCTAGTAGCAAAAAGTTAAGTATTGATCTTGACGAAACCTTTCACCTGTAGTTATGCCAAAGTTCATTCGAAGTTTGGTTGCAATAGTTACATGCCATGACTCTGGGTTAAAGAAAGCTTCTTGGAGTTGAAATCTTCAATTTGATGTAGAATCAAAAGGTTTGATTTTATCAAATATGAAGACGAATTGTGTATTTGCAAAAAGATAGTGGGAGTTTTATCGTATTCCTAATATTATATGTAAGACATATTGTTGATAGGAAATGACATTCCTAAATTTCAATCGTTAAAATAATGGTTGTTAAAGGATTTACTCATGAACAATATGGGGAAGCAACTTGATCCATAGAGATAGATTTAGAAGATTACTTAACTCATCCCAATCTACATGAATAAAATCTTTAAGATTTTATATGAAAAAATTGGTTTACTCTTAAACTGTGTGTTGAAAAGGCTCCAAACATGAAACAATCATTGATTCAATAGTAGAAATCTAATACATGATTGCTTCAAAAGTAACAAAGAGTTACAATGTGGATCAAGATGTTCATTAATGGACTTGGAGTAATTCCTAATCTTGTTGATCACATGCCATTGTACTGTAATAACAATAGATCCATCGAGCAAGCGAAGGAACTAAGGTCTTATCAATGATTCAAACATGTATTAAGACGGTATTGGATACATTTCTTGATTGTGAAATAAGTAGAAATGACATAAAGAGAAGAACGAATTTTCACATTTGACAATATTGCAGATCCACTAATAAAGAATTATCGCATAAACATGATTGTCATGTAGACAAATATGATATTGGACATATAAGTGATTAGATCTAGTGCAAGTGGAAGTTTGTAAGTGTTATGCCTTAGGTCCAATCAACCTTGAATATAAATACTTTAATATATAATTAATGTAATTTTATGGTAGATATATTATTTAATTAAATTAAATAATAAAGTCCGTAGATTCAGATCTTGATAATTTGTCAATCACAAGGAGTTGTGATTGCGAGATATAAATTACATATGATTGATTCTTAAATCGTCTGTGGTCGTAAGTAATAACGAGATACGGATATTGTTATTACGGATAGACCATCATGTGTGACATTTCTTACTTATGAAGTAAGTAGCTGGTCTCACAAGCTAAAATGTAGTGACACTTGAATGAACTCGTTGATATTTTATTATAGAACAAAACATTGGAGACCCGTCTAGAAATTTTACATGGATAACTATTTGAGTGTCAATGGTAATCTCTAACGTTCAGCAGTGAAATTGACCCTTTGACTTGAGGTCGTTATAGTACCTTATATGAGGACAGTCTTGCTTTGACGGTGTTAGATGTTGCTCTGTCAAGGGCCACTAATACAGCATCGCTCGGGTATATCAAGAATCGTATGAAGGTTGTGAAAGACCAATAGAGGATTCGTCACTCTTAGATGGTAAGAGATTATGATCTGCATTTCATTCAATTAAGTCGATCACGAAATCTTTGACCAATGTGTACTTATAAGTCGAAAAGGAATTTTCGACTTATATTGATTTAATAGTGGAGTGAAAGATATGATCGATAATTGAGATTGACACACTTCTATATTTCGTAATTGATTGGATCATATTGACAAATGGATTATAGTTTCACGGTAAATGAACGAGTTTGGTTTTGTCATACCACGTGACATTTCCCATCACATGTATTACCCTGATACATTATTAGATGTCAATCTGTGACGGTGAGTGTGAATTGGTGATAAATTAAAATGGTATTTTAATTTATCAATTTTGATTAGATCAAAATAATATTTCACGTCGTTGACATCGTGATCGAAAACCTGATGGGTCGCACACAAAAGGAGAACTGGAAGATTGTGATTTGTCAATTAATTAATTTAACAAACGTTGGATAAATTAATTAGTTGGGCTGCTTATTTATATGCCTGAATTAATTAATTGGATTAATTGATTTATGGATCGAATTTAATTAAATGTGTTAATTAAATATTGGACAAACCCATATATATATATATATATATATATATAAGTGATTGGGGTTTAGAATTTAGTAGAGAATTTATTATTCTTTCTAGCACAAGAAGAAAACATTAATTCTACAATCTTATTCTCTGCATATATTACTGTTGGAGGCTGGACAATTGGATAACTGTGGGATGCAGATCAAGGTTGCTGGAATAAAGAAAAAGCAAAGGAGTTTGCAGATCTGAAAAAGATATGACTTTTGTCACAATTTATAGGGAAAATTGCATCAGAAGCCCCAAACCTTTGAAACATTAGCATACTTTCCCCAAACCTTTCATTTGTTGCAACCGTCACCCCTAACCTTTCCAAAAGTTGCATCTGAGGCCCTTTTGGATGGTTTCTGTCAAAAATTCCGTTAATTGACCATCAAACTAAACTTTGACCACCTTTCAATAAATTCTAGAAAGGCAAAATGGTAATTTTCTATTTATCACATTAAACAATTAAAAAACTAAAATAAAAAACCAAAAACCAATCATCAATGCAATTTGATAGAATCTGTATAACGCAAATTTTCCTTCTCTCTGGCTAGCCATTATGTTTCAAGAGAAAGAAAGGGAGAAATTTTTTTATAAGAGATTGTGAAACGGTGTTGAAGCAATTAAAGAGTTCGATTTTCTACATCTATTTATAAGTAAGTGGAAAGACAAAATGTGCAAGAAAAGAATACAAGTAATGGGGTCAAGGAAGAACAAATACTTACCCCTTATTACATGCCTAGATATTCTTCTTTGTCTTTTCCTTTTCCTTATTACATGCCTAGATATTCTTCTCTGTCTTTTCCTTTTCACTTTCTTCATTGGAAAACAAAGTATATCTTATACGGTGAAGTTGGAAAATGGGTGTCGTGATTATTTTCTCTTTCTTTTCTTGTTGCTACACCACATTTGATTTGTTGAGTAAAAAATAATTTATCTATAATAGACCTTCTTGTCTTCAATCTTCGTGTCTAAGGCATTCAATGCTTTGGGTTTTTTCAGCTAATGTAAAAGGAAATATTTAGCCCTTGTTTGATTTTGGTTATTTGAGAATCACTTCTTTTCCACTCCCATTTTCAATCACATATTCTCTAAAAAAAAATTCTTCTTCTTTTGAAGAATTTGTGGTAAAAAATGATAAAAAAAAAAAAAAAAGTGTTGGGTTTACCATTTATATGTAAAATATTTTATTTTATTAATATGTAATTGAAAATAAGTATGAGAAATAAAGAGTTTTAAAAGTATAAAAGTTTATTGTTTTCTACTACCTACATGTGTTGACAAGCTTTTACATTCCTATTTGCATCGAAATAAATTTACCAAGATTTTAACTAATTTATTTATTTCTTAAAACAAGTCGACATTGCGTGACTCAATTAGTTCGTATCTCTGTTTTCCAATTTATTTACTTAATTCAATTTAAATTGTTAATTTAGGGATTATTTAATATAATAATCTAATTTTGTACAAAATTAAATGGAGGATAAATACATTGCTCGAACAATCATGTCCTAATTTAGCTCTTGCTCGAACAAGAGAATACAATCAAGTTCAAGTACTGAGCAATTCAAAGCACGTCGAGTGGTAACAAATGAAATGAAATTATACACAATAATTTATTAACCGTACAATATAAGGAACAAAGTCACATCATACTTCTTTTATGAGCAAACAAATAATATCAGAGATGCTAAAGCAAGCATTTGAAGAAAAACCATATTAAACCGTTTTAAGTTACAACAATGATAGTACATTATCGACAGTCCCTCTCGCGGAGCTCCAGTAGGTTCATAAATGTTGATTCAGCATCAAGTTTTAAGTTTATCATTGAGAGTCTGCCATCCATCCTCGATTTTCCACTCGATATCTGCTTTGTCATGCGTCGATGAAGAATGGCGGTTTAGCTTCTCTAAGTATTTGAGATTGGGAAACTGTTTCTGCATATCAGATGACTCTTCCAATCGAAATTTCTTGAGATAATTCAGACGTAAAATCTCGACATTGAATGGACCGGAATCAGTAGAATAAGAAGACAAATTCTCAAGCGACCCTCCTTTTATATACAACCTTTTCAAATTTGGCACCGCAGATGGGACTATATAGTCTGGCAACTTTGGTCGAGGGTAGCGCGTTAGTTGTATTTTCTCTAAGAGGGGGAAAAACAAAGGAGGATCTACATTTAAAAAAAATTCTGGAGATCTATCAAACTGCCAAGTCAAAGAAAGGACCCGAAGATATCGAATAGGTACACCAAGTATCCATTGAGGAAACCCCTTGAGGACATGGAACTGTGAAAATTGATGTAATTTACGCACCTCTCTCGCTGGTAGACAATAACATTCAGATATATTGACATGTTTTATCTTTGTAAAATTACCTACGTCAAAGAGACGCTCCAGATTATGACATGCCTTGACGTCTAAAATTTCAAGATTTACGCACTCACCCATAGAGTCAGGGAGAGTGGTAATCTGTGAAATCCCTCTTAGGCTAAGATACGTTAATTCCTTTTGTGTCTTTAACCTGTCCAAAAACTTGCAATTTTCTACCTCAATATGATAACGAGGAGAAACCTGCCACCTTCCAAGTTGAAGAACCTTTAGTTTCTTATTCTTTGCAAATAAATATGCCTTTGGACTCAAATATTTCTCATGTAAGTTGAATATGGTTAACAATCTTCTCTGTGGATGATTATCGATATTCGAAAGCCATCCTTTGTCCAAAATTAGCCGACCAGATTGAACATCATCCTTGGTTATGTTCCCATTGGAATCTAAATCGAAGAAGTTGGATTTTTGAGCATTGGATATCAACATTCTACGGATCCCTGGACTCATAGTACAACCATAGATGGTGGGACTCCTTTCTGTCTTACGACGGGATTGTATCCAACCTTCGTCAATTAGTTCTCCAAAGATTTTTTCGCCCACTTCCTCAGCACTCATATAGCTAGACTTGGTTATTTCATTCTCAAAACGGCCAAAACTCAGATCGCCAGTTTCGATCACAAAACCTTCACCAATCCACCAATGAATTAGAATCCTCTTCTTTATGACTGCATTCTCAGGGAAAGCTGCAAGTGTTAACAAACAATTCTTTTTGTATTCAAGCAGACTATCATAATTCAGCTGTAACTGCGACATCGTACGAGAAAAAGAAGGGTTTTGTTCAATTTGTGACCTCGATGAATTTTCTGGCCTCTTCCTTTTATTCTCATCATTGGAAAAAGATTGTTGTTTAGGAACAAATGTCTTTTCTTCTATTTCTGGAAAATTTTCAGTTATGATTTTGTTGATTTCTTTTCTTGTCTTGATTATGACTTTGAGTTTTTCGCTTACCTCATTGGTCTGGTCACTTGAAATGTGCTCTTCCAAAGATTGGAACGTTGCCATGATTGCATCTTCTAACACTTTCAGTTGAGTAAACACTTCTTTCGTCTCGTCAAGATCCTTTTGTATTTCTGCCAGTGTGGATTCAACCTCATTGTTGACGTCACCATTGCTATTGTGCCGTTTCAACCAATCATCAAGGCAATTTGATAGAATCTGTGTAACGCAAATTTTCCTTCTCTGGCTAGCCATTATGTTTCAAGAGAAAGAAAGGGAGAAAGAACTTTATAAGAGATTGTGAAATGGTGTTGAAGCAATTAAAGAGTTCGATTTTCTACATCTATTTATAAGTAATGGAAAGACAAAATGTGCAAGAAAAGAATACAAGTAATGGAGTCAAGGAAGAACAAATACTTAACCCTTATTACAGGCCCAAATATTCTTCTCTGTCTTTTCCTTTTCACTTTCTTCATTGGAAAACAAAGTATATCTTATACAGTGAAGTTGGAAAATGTGTTCGTGATTCTTTTCTCTTTCTTTTCTTGTTGCTACACCACATTTGATTTGTTGAGCAAATATATATATATATATA